TTGCCCTGACCGGTTTGGCTCAGCGGATAGAGCGTCGGCCTGTGGACTCAAGGGTCCCAGGTTCGATTCCGGTCAAGGGCATGTACCTTGGTTGGGAGCACATCCCCAGTGGGGAGTGTGCAGGGGGCAGCTGATCGATGTTTCTCTCTCATCGATGTTTCTAACTCTCTATCCCTCTCCCTTCCTCTCTGTAAAAAATCAATAAAATATACTTAAAAAAATATTCTTGAATGGTTTCAAAACAAATAAGAATCGATTCTTAGAGTGCACTAACATTTAATTAATAATAAACCTGGATGTTTCAAAAGTGTTTATACATGTGATATTTAACTTTTAAAATAAAAATACACATTTATTTTAGAAATTTTGAAAAATTAAAGAGGCCTATATTTTTAAAAAGTCTATTTACAATCCTAACCACATAGATGGATATTGAAATTCCGATTGTTTTGTTTGTTTGTTTTAAAAGAGTTTAAGTAACATAGTCAATGTCTTTACCCTGACAATCTGGTAAGAGTTTGTCTGTAAAACCATTTGAATCCGGTGTCTTTAAGAGTGAGGGGGTGGTAACATATTCATCCTGTAAATTTGTAGTTTGTATTAGATACCAGGGCATGTGCAAATTAACATTATGCCTTTCTAGTCACATGAACTGGATTATGCTTAGTAACAAACTTGAAATCTCAAGGTTTAACACAAGGGATGTTTACTTTTACTCATGTTACACAGTCTCCCAGGTGGTGGTAAGCAGGCTGCCCATCAGCCTCACACAGAGCCACCCACCCCGACCTGGAACATTGCTGGCTGCTGGGGCGGTGTGTGTGTGTGTGTGTGTGTGTGTGTGTGTGTGTGTGTGTGTGAGCATGGTGAAACTGTTCATGGTTCCTAAAGGCTGCTGCCAGAAGTAACAGATGTCTCATCCACTCACCTTTCGTTGCCTAAACTCGGAAGTAGATCGGGTTTAGAGGGGCTTGAGACACAGATGATTTGGAGGCCCACTTTAAGGATGAAGATACAAAATTAAAGATATAAAGCTAGGTACAATGGTGCGTATTTAGAATGAGAAACACATTAAATTACAAATTTAAAAAGTGTTTCCCTTCTGTTTTTGCCTCCACTAAGATGGATCATTTTTGAACTTTAGTATGGTCACTTAATTCTGAAAAGTATACAAAGTTAATCTGAAATGTACAGTAGATGTATGTCTGAACAATTCAGATTTTAGATTGCCACTGCATTGTATCACGCATCATCATTTTATGATCAATATGCTCTCATACTACGTACATCGACGTTCTGATGAATGTGTGTAGGAGGTCGTCACTGGAACATTCGTTTCTTCAGGCTGTTTCAATGCGTTGGAGAATTTTACGTGCCATTTGCTTTGGGATTGTCGGACCTTGTCAGTTCAAGATTTGTCAGGTATGTCAGGATGTGAACTGACACATTGGGAGGCATGAACTCTAATCTCCTACATATATGTACTCGTTCTTTGTAGTATTGCCACAGGTTTCTGCCCTACAGACCCTGGAATTCTAATAAATTTTACTTTATGTGATTCCCAACAAAAAGGGAGACAATGTCGAGTGTGTTTATAATTGTATTACTGCATTATTGAATATATTCCTGATAGGGCACAACTTCCATTGAGATACCGATGAAACCACAATTGTCCACTTATAGTATCTCGCATTTGATGATCTGAAGAATTCTCCACAGATTAGCTTCTGGCTCCATATGTTTCAAACCCTGTTTCTCCTTCACCACCGACATACTTCTGTGGCATTGTAGGACCCACTTATCTTGTGAATTTTAGGGCCTGTTTCTTCATTATGATGTCAGATCAAAGCATATCTGGAAGCCATTCTTACAGTGGGAAAGCTATAGTAACCATATGCATGAAAGTGAAAGCGAAACCCCAATTTAACGTATCCCTCACTCAACTTTTAATTTGCTGAATCCCCAAAATGCTTATTCTGTTCCATCACCACCTGGCAAAAGGAGTGGAGATAGTCAAGAAGTTGAGTGGTGAGTGCTGAGTTCAGAAGTTCTCAGCTTCATTCATCATCTCGAGGATAAATCTGCCTTGGGAAAATCTCATGGCTCAAATCTCCAACCCCACTGTGTGCCTGCCACTCTGTATTGGCGAGTGATACTGTTCATTACAAAGCCCTCCAGAAAGGGCCTGACAGTTGATACAACATGGGCTAGAAAATGTTTAAATGTTTTATAGTAACTTAATCAGCCAACCCCCACCCCTCCCTTCCTACTTTTTGATGCTGCCAATCATACTTAGCTGCAATTGTGGAAATCTGACAGCTTTTTAATATCAATTTACTTGTCAGCTATTTTTTATATGCTTTTTATTTTTTTAAAAAAATATATTTTATTGATTTTTTTACAGAGAGGAAGGGAGAGGGATAGCGAGTTAGAAACCTCGATGAGAGAGAAACATCGATTCAGCTGCCTCTTGCATGCCCCCCACTGGGGATGTGCCCGCAACCCAGGCACATGCCCTTGACCGGAATCGAACCCAGGACCCTTGAGTCCACAGGCCGACGCTCTATCCGCTGAGCCAAACCAGCTAGGGCTTTATATGCTTTTTAATTGATTTTTTTAGAGAGAGAGAGAGGGGGGAAGAGAGAGGGAGAGAGAGAAAAAGAGAGAGAGAGAAACATTGATGAGAGAGAAACATTGATTGGCTGCCTCCTGCACGCCCCCTACTGGGGTGTTAGCCCACAATCCAGGCATGTGCCCTGACCAGAATCAAACCAGCAACCTCCTGGTGCATGGGATGGTGCTCAGCCAACTGAGCCAGGGCTTAATTTTTAAAAACCTCTCCTTTAGAATATGAGCTAAGGAGCAGGGAATTTTATGTTTTGTTCACTGCTATATTGAATGGACTGTTAGATTTGCATATTCTTGAAACCATTTTTATTTTAATATTTAAGAATGTAGGTGTTACCTTCCCACACAAATATGGTTGAAGTTAGCATACCAGAAACATTTGTAACTCATCAGTATAGTGTGTTATTTCTTGCCCAAGATTGCTAGATCCAATTACAGGGGTAAAAAAAAGTTTAGGAGATTCCCTTATATGAACTATTTCTTTGTGAATTGCCTGCAAGTCAGGCATGTAATTCAGGTAGAGAATTAAAGTCTATGGTTCTGTAGATAATAAGGAACCATTAGGACAAGCACAAAGTGTGTGCTTAACCACCCATATCTTTAATGTGCTGATTATAATAGAAATGTGAAAATACCACATGTTGTTAGAAAAAGTTGTCTTTTTCTGTGAAAGTATTGGCAGTGGAAAAAGCAGAGCTACCCTTCCTTTTCTGTAGGGATGCTAACAAGTACACCAGGAATTGTTTGATGGGTTTTTAGTGGCTCCATGAGCCCCCATTTGTTGGCTATGTGCAAATTATTTTGCTTAGTATCTTGGGAGTAGAGAGAGATGGACTGGTTGTATCCTTAAAAAGCTCAGGAGATATAATCCTATATAATAAAATGCTAATATGCAAACCGACTAAATGGCAGAATGACCGGTCGCTATGATGCACACTGACCACCAGAGGGCAGATGCTCAACACAGGAGCTGCCCCCTGGTGGTCAGTGCGCTCCCACAGGGGGAGCGCCGCTCAGCCAGAAGCCGGGCTCATGGCTGGCGAGTGCAGCACTAAGGATATCTAACTGCTGGCTTGGGCCTTGTCCCTAAGCTGTCAGTCAGACATCCCCCAAGGGCTCCTGGACTGCAAGAGGGCGCAGGCCATGCTGAGAGACCCCCCCCCCACCATGTGCACGAATTTCGTGCACCAGACCTCTAGTGGTAAGCATAAGAAAGGTAGAATTCAATTACAGAGGAGCAAGCTTTCCTGAGAGAGGGTGGAATCAGATAATGTCTGGCAACGAGACACAATCAGGGAAGGCACGGGGAGGAGGTGGCATTGAGTAGAGCATTGAAAGGCACAAGTGGGTCTACAGTAGGTGGAGAAGGGCCCCAGAACAGCATGTGCTCCCCATGCTTGAATCATCTGAGGAGCTTGTAAAAAATGCGAATTCTGACTCTGTAGGCCAAGGAAGGGGGAAGTAGAGGTTCTGCATTTCTAACAAGCTCCCTGGTGATGCTGATGTCACTGCCTCGAAGAACAGACCTAGAACCACTGAGCTGCCTCCCTGTACACCCTTGACCTTTGAGGTGAGGTCTAGACTGGAAACTGGTGTAGGCTTGACATAAGGTAGGTTGTGAAGTGCTTGGTTAAAGAGGTGAAGTAGAGGCCAGGAGCTCACTCCGATCTGGTTTTAGGTGTGAGAACTCCACGCCTTTCTTTGATCACAGGGCCATTAACTCAGCCTTTGTGTGGGCTTCCTCCTTTTCCTGAATTCTTCGGTTCAAAGTTCACCTGGTAATTTCCATTGATATTTGTTTGACTTTATGGTCTCCAATCTCTTGGGACATATTGCTAAAATGTAACTTTGATCCTTCAGAAAGAAATTGATTCTATTTTCGGTATATTTAACAATGATTTTATCAACTGCCAGTCTGTCTTTTTGTGATCCAGTCCAATGATAAACTTTTAAAAACCATCGCTCATGAATTAACTAAATGGGCCTCCTTTTTAGAGTAGAGACTATAAATTAGAAACGTGTGTAGACGGTGTCCACACTAGATAGAACTACTAGTAAAAAAAAATCACAGAGACATTCCTTTCTGCTTCTTCACAAGGGCCACACCGCAACAGACTGGATTCAGTGTACCGTGGTGGGCTTAGCTGTCCACACGAGGAATTTGATAACGGCTCTATACCTTCACATCCTCGTGTAAGAATTGAACCAGGTCATACTCCCGACAGTGATAACTGCCGTCCCCAGAGGGAAACTCTGTGGCTGCATAGGGTGGCGGTGGTGGGTTTTATTTAAACGTGGCAGGCACCCATGTCCCCGGATGTGTACTACACCTACAGACACATGCTATGTTTCCAATCTTCTTCCTAGATCTTGGCCCTGATTGCGTTCATCTGCATAGAGACCATCATGGAATGCTCCCCGTGCGAAGGCCTCTACTTTTTTGAGTTTGTGAGCTGCAGTGCGTTTGTGGTGACTGGAGTCTTGCTGATTCTGTTCAGTCTCAACCTTCACATGAGGATCCCCCAGATCAACTGGAACCTGACGGTGAGTACAGTCACCGCCCCCTGACTGTGAAAGGATCGGCTGCTGCTTGGCTCCAGGGAGAGTGGGAACCGCTCCATGTCGTGTTTGGGTCCAGTTCATTGCGGTACTGAAATATTCCACTGTCATTCAGCTGTGAAATGTTACATTTCTTTACTGAGTTGAATAAAACTACAACTTAAATGGAATCTTCACTAATGGCAGAAACATCATAACAATTGTTTTGACCTCTTTGAAGATATTTCAATTTCATGATCTTCTGAGATTAGGGATGTTGATATGTGTACAGAATATGGGAAAGAGAAAATAGAATTAATGCATTTTTGCATATATTTTACACCGGACCCAAAAGCCATTTATAAAAGAATTGATTCGGGAAGAATTGAAACTATGAATGAAAATGGCAATAACTTGCAAAGCCTAGGGATATTATCAAATTCAAAGCAACTGGGAGGACTGGAAGGGAGGGTTAGTGTTTGATCAGTCTTGACTGGAAATGTGTCCTCTTCTCCCTGTGGTTTGGGTTCTTAACCCTGTTTGACAGCCTTGCCCTCCAATCAGCATGGGAAGCTCCTGGTTGGTCACTCCCAGGCCCCTTTTCCTGGACGTGTGTTACTTATCTTTACTGTGCTAAACGAGGGGAAACTTAATAGCACTTGGTTTTCCTGGTATTTCTCTGCAAGTGAGCATGTGCCGGAGCTCAGAGGGAATCGTTCAGGGAAACACAGGGAAGCAGTCAGCTGCCTCAGCCTCTGGGCCTGTGGGAGGAAGACCCCGTGGGCCCCACAGCTTCTAAGAGGGCAGCAGAGGAGGGGAGGGCGCTGAGACCAGCTGCCTCGGGAGAACGCCTCTCTCTTGGCTGGTGCAGCACCATGGAAGTGTGGCCCCTGTGAGGGAGCTGGGGAGGAGGCCGGAGCTGGTCACCTTGCCTGGCAGGGCCACTCCCAGGTGATCCTGTGGGGTGCCCAGAGGAGAGGGTCTTCCGACAGGAGGTTCTCTGTGTTGTTCAGACTCTTTTAGGAGGAAAAATAAGAGCAGGGCTGAACCAGGAAAGTTGATGTCAGTTGAAGACTCAGTTGGTTTTGTCTCAGCATTGAACACTGAGAAAAATGTGATTTAAATTTAAACTCTAAAACCTCAAGATAGTGGAGGCATTTTGTCTGAGTTTTTATGACAGGTTTTAATGTCTCAACTATTTTTAAGATAAAGTTTGTGTTATCCACAGGAAAATGCTTACGGAGTTGTGATCTAAATTGATAGCGTAGTAAACAGCAGAGAGAACCTCATAAACCCCCCCCCCCCAAATGCAAGCTCTGTGGGTTTTATAGTTGTTGTTTTGTTTTAGATGTTAGTTTTTATGTGTAGGCCTCTGATGTTATAAATATTAGCTTGTTCAAATTTGTTTTGAACACTGTACAAATCAAACCTATTTGTGGGCCAGATATGGCCAATAGGCCTGGAGTTAGCACCCGCTAGACCAGATCCCCTTGATCTGTTACTGGAGTTACTTGGGCTCACACCTGTACTTACTAGTGCGTTACTGGGGGAGGGACTTGAAAACATGTGTATGTGAGGGTGACCTTCCTTTGCTTCTGTTAGCTTCTGTTTGTTTCCTGTTAGCCCCCATAGGAGGGCTGCAGCCGTGGTGTTTCAGGGGCCAAACAGGAAACATGGAGTGGCTGGTTATGAGACTGCAGGGAGTGGGGACAGCTGTGGCAAACTGGAAAACATGCATCTTATAGAGTTCACAGCCCATTGAAAGTATTTTATTTTATTATTATTATCATTTAATACATATATTGATTTCAGAGAGGAAGGGAGAAAGAGAGAGAGCTAGAAACATCAGTGATGAGAGTGAATCATTGACTGGCTGCCTCCTGCACGGCCCCTACTAGGGATCAAGCCTGCAACCTGGGCATGTGTCCTTGACCGGAATTGAACCTGGGACCCTTCAGTCCTCAGGCTAACGCTCTATCCACTAAGCCAAACCAGCCAGGGCCCATTAAAAGCATTTTTTAAAAATTTAGTACCAATGTTTACTAATACCGCCCGCCCCCCCCCCCCAATCCACATTTGAGGCCATGCCTGGATGTGCCCCTAGCATAAGTGGAACAACACACAGTAAGAGCCTTGGTTTTGTTTCGTGGCCAAGAAGCTCAAGCAGCAGGTGCTGACTAACTTGCAGTACTCCAGTTTTAAGCTTTTTAAACTGTGCAAGTGATAAGTGGTTGTTATAGAAAAACTGGACGATACAGATATTAAAATAGAATAAATAAAATCATGTGATCACCCGAGAGAAATGAAAACATGTCTGCAGAAAAGCTTCCACGTGCCAGGATGATTTGAATGAGTTTTTAAAAGACAACAATAGAACTCTAAGTGGTCATTAGTGTGCATGTCCTCCATAGGTTAGCAGGTTGGGTTTCTGTAATAAGTCATTGAGAAATGGTGACGAGGGTTTTGCTGTGGTGGTTTATCCAGTCGCATCAGACACTGTTACGGTGTTTGCCTTCCTTTGTACAACCAACACCCCCGGGCCACTGAGATGAAGCTATGGAGCCAGCACAGAGGCTGGGTATTGTGCTTGTTCTGGAAGTTCTTCAATGGCTTTCAGGGCAAAGCATGAGATGCTTCTTTTCAAGTGATTTTATTTATCTTTTTCTTTAGGATTTGGTCAACACTGGACTCAGCACTTTCTTTTTCTTTATTGCTTCCATTGTACTGGCTGCTTTAAACCACAAATCCGGAGCAGAAATTGCTGCCGTGGTAGGTGAACCCAGGTGGTTAAAACACGGGCTGATTTGTATACTTCTTGTGACTTGCTCTCCTCTGTCCCCTAATATGTGTCCTACTCATTGTCCTTTAGCTTTTTCTTTGCTAATGAAATTGTTATTGGGCCAATGGAGGTCCCAGTCCCTTCAGTGCTATGGTTCTCAAAGTGTGGTTCCCAGAACAGCAGCCTCAGCATCACCCAGAAACTTGTTAGAAATGCCATTCTCAGGCTCCCCCAGAGCTACTGAATCAGAAATGTGTTTTAACCTGCCTCCAGCTGATTCAGGGGCGCACTCAAGTTTGAGAACCACTGCTCTAGTCTGTTTCCACCAGGACCCTGGATGTCTGTCTGTTAGTGGTGTTGCTTTTTCAAGCCTTTACTGGCCAGTATGGTGGTCTTAGTAGTCAGATGACATTTTTGCTCTTCAGGGTAGAGTGCCCTGGGGGTGGGGTGGGAACCAAACTGTCTCTGTGCTCTGCATTTCTGTATTGTTCTGTATTTACAGAGACTATGTAGCGTTTTTGTAATGGGGGGGATTAAAAGGTTCATGAAAAATATTAAACGAGCTGTTCTCCCAGGTGTCACTCAGTAGATTCATCAGTCGTTATTAACTAAGCCAAACCTGCTGCTTCTCACCCTGGAGCTGCCCAGGTGACAGGCAGCTGGAGAGCAGGTGGGGGTTCGAAGGCTGTGCTTTGGAATGTCAGGCCTTATGGCTTGAGTTGTTATTATACTTGAGCCCCTGATTTTTTGTGTGCATGGGGTTTTGTCTACATGTATTTTCTCATCTGGGACCAGTGACCATGAAGGTGCTGTAAAAGAGTCATTAAAAATTTTTAATTGATTTTAAATATCTTTTTATTGATTTCAGAGAGAGGAAGGGAGAGGGAGAGATAGAAACATTAATGATGAGAGAGAATCATCCGGTCAGCTGCCTCCTACATACCCTCTACTGGGGATCGAGCCTGCAACCCAGGCATGTACCCTAACTGGGAATCGAACCATGACCTCCTGGTTCATAGGTTTATAGCATCAGCTCAACCACTGAGCCACACCGGCTGGGCAAAAGGCATTTTTGTAATAAAAAAAAAAGATCCAAAATACTTTGTGTGAAACCTTAGGCTGTCTTCAGGTCAGGGAGGACTTCTGTGGGTCACATGACTATAGATTTGGCTAAACATTCAGCCGGGCCAGGTGTTGGGGGCATAGCTGTAAGCCGCTCAGGGTCCTGCCCAGGCACCTCGTAGACTGCTGATGTGTCTGAGGACTATCCATGCCTGTTTCTCGTAGATATTTGGCTTCTTGGCAACAGCGGTGTATGCGGTGAACACATTCCTGGCCGTGCAGAAATGGAGAGTCAGCATCCACCAGCAGAGCGCCAATGACTACATCCGAGCCCGCACCGAGTCCCGGGACGTGGATGGGCGCCCGGAGATCCAGCGCCTGGACACATGAGGGCCCAGCAGGGTCCTCCCTCATCCTCGTGCCCATCCTTTCAATCAAGTTTTCTTTCCCTCGTCACGACAGATTCTCATGTGTTTAAGCTGAATTTTGTCCTCTTTGGTAAAGTTCATTTTGGGAAAGGTCCCCCTCCCCCCAGAGTGGCCCTGTTAGCAGGTATGTGAGGCGGAGAGCCCCTGCACCCTGCTGTGCGACAGAAGTGGGTGGGAGAGACCTACGGGTTCTCCAGCGTTTGGTGGCCGTGGGAGCAGCCGGCCTCCCTGGCTGCCGTGTCCACTTTAGGTCTTCACCGGCCCTGAGCACAGGCTTCCTCCCCATCTGACTCTGAGCCACCCTGTCATATGCATTTGTGACAAGTCAAGACTTTGGATTAAATGGGGGCCGCCACGAGGGGGAAGTCAAGGAAGGAAGGTACAAGGTTGGAACAGTCCGTCACCAGTGATTCCTGGGCAGCCCCCATCGTGCGCTCCATCAGCGTTAGTCTTGCTGCCAGGATCCCCCCCTACTGCTTGTCTTCCATGCCCCGGGCATCGAGACAGCCAGCACAGGCCCGGCAGCCACGCGTGGCACTGAGGGGTTGCAGTGATGGGGGTGCTGGGGGAGCTCTGGGCTGGGTCTGGACTTTCTGGGGATGGACAAAGCTGGTGTCCCCTTGGGACAGCTCACAGGACTGTTGACATGCAGGAGGGTTACCTTTCACTTCCCACCTGCTGAGAAAACACTCGATTCTTCCTCAAATGAATCACCTCCCTGAATCCCAGATTCTCCTCAAGGAATATGGGGACCATCTTGTTTTTCGCTCTCCTGACTACCCTTAATGCTTTGAGGCTGCGTTGCAGATTTCCTATCATTTTACCTCTTCAGGTAAAATCCAGGAGAGAAACGCAGTCCATCCCGCCAGCCAGAACACTTGCCCGTTTGGACCCCTCTGTTTTAGATACGTGCTCACTTCAGTGACCTGAGAAGAGTTCTACAGTGATTCTGTGTAGACTTGTCTAGGATTCGAAAATACTTGAATTTGCACCATGACACCCTTTCATTGTATTTGAGAAGCACGAACGAATTGAAGCTTTTCAGGGCCCTAACTACGAACATCCATCTTGGAGGTTGTTGGGAAGAAATCTAGGTCTGTCCGATTTTTGAACTGATTCTTGATGAAGTGAAGATTATTGTGGTGAAGGAGTTAAATGAGCCCCTATGATGCTGTAGAGTTGTCCTTTTCTTCCTGTTGGAGATTAATTGTATCTTTTATGGAAAAATTGTTTTAACTTGTCAGGTTTTCACTCTGAGCTGTTTTTAATGTTTACAAACCTCACTCTAGCTCTAATGTTTTGTGATTAGCTCTCACCAAGGAAAAAACAGTTACTGCTGGTGGAAAAGTGGGAAGATCTCGCAGTAACTCGGAGAACCCCCAGGAGCTTGTGCTAGCGAGCGATCCCAGCCTTGGCAGCGTTCTGTCTGATGAGAGAGAGAACAGGGGTATGCCTTTGGGGTGGCGGGAGGAGAGCGTGCGTGGGAAAGCGTCCGTCTGTGCGTGTGTGGCATTGCATTCTTCATAAAGAGCAGCGTCGGGGGATTGAGCAGGTGGCTGGGGATTTCTAGGAAATGGTACTATGCTGTCTCTGAGGGGGCGGGGTTAGGGGTTAGCTCCCTGAACTGAACACTCGGTTCAGTCTGAGTTCTGCTGCAGTTCCTGCCCTGGGCACCGGCCCAGGTCACATGTGCAAGCCCCTTGTCTGCTTCAGGGGCCACGGCTGCGGGTGCAGGCCCAGCTGGTCTGGGGGTAACTCACCTCCCTCTGCTCCCCCAGAGGGCAGCCAGGCCTGGTCACAGCGGGGCGTGCTGCCCAGAGGGTCTGCTGGAGCCCTCTCTCCGTGTCTGTCCTGAGGCAGTACAGGTCACGCTTCACAAACTTTGAACCTATTCTATATAGTGATTTTTTGAGGAGCTTCTAACATCTGGATTTTATCTGTTCATTTTATGTATTTATTTTGCATTTGTTGAGTGTGTCTGCCTAATCAAAATTGGGCTTATCTCACTCTGCGAGTTCCATTTAAAAAGGGGGTCACAAAGACTCGGCCTTGCATTAAATGGGGCCCACTTGGGAGGACCACCCTGTACTTTATCAGAAATCTCCTGCTGGGAATCATGTTACTTGGCCTCAATAAAAAGCCGCCTTTGAAGTGAGATTGAAGAAAAGAATACCATTCAGGCAGGATTGCTGCCCAAGTTTTCCCAAGTCACTTGCATGGGACCAGTTTACCGTCGGGGGGCGGGGGGGGGGGGAGCCTCCTGGCCTCCTGGGCTGTGCTGTCGGCTGCAAGAAGCCGATCTGCAGCCACGGACACTGTGACGGCTGATGATGAGGAAGAGTGATGACACCCAGTGCCTCAGAGCGACTTAGGAGTTAATGTGCATCTTAGTGTTAGAATCTTTGGAATAATTTATGTCCCTGTAACTATTTAATATCCTTTGTGCCATGAGGCTCTCCCATGGAGTTTGTAAATATATTTCTTTCTATTTAATTAGCGCTCTAGCTGGTGTGATGCACCGCCATCCATCTCGTCCCCTGTGGCAGTGTGGTGGTGAGGAGTTGTGAAGGGGATGTGCTTGTCCAGGTGAATGTAAAGACACCTGCGTTCTTCTTACATTGCCTCTGTACAAACAAGACAATCTAGATTTCGGGGGGCCTGTGGCACTTCTTTTTTTTGGCAAATTAAAGGAAGCGTGTTTTTGCATTTAATAGTTCCAATATGGGTCAGTGTCAGTTTGTTTTGGGGTATTTTCAGACTGAGGCAATCTTAGTGTTTCTCAATTTTCTGGTGGGATGATAATGGCTTTCATGGTCTGTGCCAAACCTGAAGGGAGCTACAGTTGCTTTGTGCATTTGAATTTGTTCCTAGCGACTGTATGGTTGAAACCCTCAAGCATTTGGTGGTTTTAGATGGATGCAAACACTGACGTCTTCAGAGAAAGTTTATCTTGGCTCGGATTTGGTGGATGTGGTATTTTTTCTCTCTGATTCTCCTTTATCTTCCCTTTACACTGAATGAAGGCCTGAAAGGAAATACCTTCTCCCTTTCATACAGAGAGATTGCAATCATGAAAGCCCAAAGGCACTTGTTGGCCCCATATAAAGCTGGGGAAGGACCAAGGCATTTATAGGTTAAAATCTCATAAGAACCCGGCATGCATGGCTCAGTGGTTGAACATCGACCTATGAACCAGAGGTCTTGGGTTTGATTCCCAGTCAGGGTACATGCCTGGGTTTCGGGCTCAGTCCCCAGTGTGGGGGTGTGCAGAAGGCAGCCAGTCAATGATTCTCTCTCATCATTGATGTTTCTATCTCTCTCTCCCTCTCCCTTCCTCTCTGAAATCAATAAAAATATATTTGAGAGATTACCTTTGCCTAGAAAAAGGCAAGAATGTAGTAGCCTGCCCAGTCCCAATATTTATCCATGTCTGCCTTGGCAACCTGAACTGAAGGACCAGCATCAGCAGAGCCCAGCCTGTCCACAGGGAAGCCAGTGAGGGCCCGGCGTGGCTCTGAGGGCCTGGCTTGGGCGGTGGACAACACTCATGGCCCTTTGGGTACCATTACTGTCCCCTGGTAGGAACGCGTAAGCCCCTGGGTGGGTATGGAGTGTATCTGACCTCCACCCTGTGCTGTAAGGCTTCTGATGAGAGCTCTGTGACTCAGTTGAAAACATTCCTACTCTTTTCTTTTTTCATTTCTTACCTGAGGATTTGTTTTCCATTGATTTTAGAGAGGGGGAGGTGAGAGAGAAACATCCATACACACCCCGACTGGGGATAGAACCCGCAACCTGGTATGTGCCCTGACCGGGAATTGAACCCGCCAACCTTCAGTGTACGGCACACACCAGCCAGGACATTCCTGCTTTTTTAAAGTAGGCAGCTTCATCTACCTTCGTGAAGGTTTCTTTAATTCATTCTTTAATTCAGACTTGGGGTTAAGCCATAGCTGGTCTTGGAGGAGAGGAAGCAGTCTTCTGTCTGCATGTCTGTGAATTCTTGCTTGCAATGAGTGAGCCTTGAATGTCATCCCCTCCACCCCCACCCCCCCATTTGTCGTGTCCTATGTGTGGTCCAGCCTCATCTTTTCTTACAGACACTCGCGCTGTTTGGGAAGAAACCCTCTCCGTGTGTTTAAGAGGTGGGCCGGGTTCTAATATCTGGCTGTGCGAGATTTTCTGTGGGTGGTTCTTAGAATCCATCCTAACAGGTGAGTAGGGTGTGGAGACAACGCGTGGCTAACTTAGTGATTCTGGGAGGCAGTGGCAGCTTGTGTGGTTCCACGGGTGCCATCCCTGTTCAAAACAAAGCAGCAGGAAGTCGCTGTGCGATAGCTGGTTCTCATTTTCTCCATCTCATTTATAGGAAAATGACGGCATTGAACAGGTAGTAAAAGGCACAAACACTTTCTAGGGTGAGGGCTGCTGCCGATTGATTCTCTCGAGCAAATGAGGTCTCCAGCCACTTTTTTATTTCTCAGCGAAGTTTGCAGAACCCAGGGCTCTCTCTTCCCCAGGTCTTGCTTGTTTTATCAGCACCCACTTTTAGGACCAGAAGGGTGAGAGGCTGGTGAGGTGGGAGCTGGGGCAGGTCTGAGAGGTGAGAGGAGGGGGCCCCTCGGGCCAGGCTCTGTCTGCTGTGGGGCTGTTGATAACACTAGACTGGTGACCGACCCAAGAAGTCTTGAAAAGATGGACTTGCTTAGCTACCTTTCTCTCCCCTTGTCTTTGGAAAAGCGAGGCATTGTGTTCTGGAATCAGCTTGAGAGCCAGAGCTGGACGTAGGGCCCATGTGCCTTGGCGCCCGGAGGGGCTCTGGGTGGTGTTTGGGAATGCGCAGGTCTGGCAGGGTGACTTGGGTTCTGGTTTCGGTGCCACCTTAGAGCGGACTCAGACCGAACACTGCCTTGTAAGCTTCCCAGCTCTTTACAAAACCGCGTGTTTCTTCTCTTATCAGATAGTGCTGAAATCATAAGAACGGTCTGGTTGAGAAGGTAATCTGAAATATTTGGACCTTTACATTTCTTTCATTTCAAAACTGTCTCTGAAAGAAAATACCCTCACATTCTGTTAGATCTAGAACTGTATTCTGAAAGCAGATGTTCTGTTTGACTTGTTTTCACACCAGCGAATGGCACTTATCCCCTCCTGGCCTGAAACAGCCGTGGGCCCGATAGATTTCCCCTTTTTTGGTCTAGTCTATATTCTTACTCCATTTAGATATAACTTCTCAATCTGGGTGATTTTTTTTTTCTAGTTTATCTTATTCCATAGGCATAAGAGTAAAGAAAAGTTACCCACAAGCCCACTAAGTTTGATTGAATCAATGGCAGTTTGCCTAGAATAAAGTTTATATTATGGATCCTTGATTAGTCTATCTTTTTCATAGGGTTAGTTTGTGGTCTACTTTTTGTTGTTATTAATCCTCAGTTGAGGATATTTTTCCCCCCCATTGATTTTTAGAGAGAGTGGGAGGGAGGGGGAGAGACACAGGGAGAGAAACATCGATGTAAGAGAGACACATCGATTGGTTGCCCCCTGCATGTGCCCGACCAGGGCCAGGGATCGAGCCTGCAACCGAGGTATGTGCCCTTGACAGGAATCAAACCCGAGACCCTTCAGTCTGCGGGCCGATGCTCTATCCACTGAGCCAAATTGTCTACATTTTTGATGCCAAGACTTTAGTTCAGACACCCGGGAGTGGTTTGGGCTGCATTACACACACAGGCTGGGGGCCTAATCATTAAGGGGTTAGTAGCCTGGGCTCTAGTGAGCTATCAGCACTTGTATGGTCCTCAGTTATCGGAGGAAATTGTCTCAGATGACCTTTGTTGGTGGGATTACTGTGAGGCCCAAAGCTTCTTTTCCTACGTGTGCCTCAGAGGAGAGAAGGTGTGACATAGTTGATTCTGTAATAATCTGAAACCCAGTAGGAAGCACCTCCTTTTATTAGAAAAGCCACTGAAGGGAAGGCCAGGAGGTAAGGCCTGTGTGGGGAGCTGGTGCCCATGCCAGGCAGGGCCAGGTCTCGCTGCGGCTGCTTCCCTCTGTGGCCATTTTGCTTCCCTGCCTTTTCCAGAATCGATTTGCGAGTTTCAAGATTCTGTTCCCATCTCTGCAGAAGTGAGGCAGGCGAATGTTCGGGGTTTGAAGGGAGAACTGGCTGGCCCACTGGCTGGGGAGGCTGACTCTGAGGACAGGATGCCTGGAAGGCCCCCCCAAGCTGGCCCAGCCCCTCAGAGGGGCCACCTGCTTCCAACTCTTTCACCCCATAAACCCACTTAAAAACGAGTCTTCAGATCCTGTCTCAGAATGAAATGGCGTGTGCGGAAAAAGCCAGTGCTTTTCATCACCTGATTTTTGATGCGGTTTCCTCTAAGAGAACGCTAGGGATCGAAACTATTTGTATATGTTGCAATTTGTAGGGGTTCAGGAACCCATGGCAAAAACACTTAACTAATTTATTACAGGTATGACTGTCCCCCCCCCCCCAAGGTAGACAATTCTGTCTGTATATTTTAAGACAAATAATAATCACTTCACCTTGGTGCCTTCCGTGTGTCGGTCACGTAAACACTTGTTAATCATGGAATTGAAAGAAAGATGTACATTTAGTTAAACCAGATAACACTATTTTTGTAGCATGATTTTAGATTGTGTCCTTTTAATGTTGCTTTCAGCAGTGCTGGTTTTGCGGTTGGCCATTTTCCCCGTAAACTTCCTATGTTTTTAAAAAGAAAAAGACAAAAACTACCCCTGGCTGTTCCTAGCTCCCCTCTGCTGCTCCGTCCCCCACGTCTTGTTTCCGCTTATTTAAAGTCTGAGAGTAAGAGTATATTTCTGTGAAATAATTCTTAATCAGTATATCTGCATTGGGCATTTTTTAAACCCCTTGTTCAGTCGAGGGAGCCACTGCTCACCCCGGTGAGAGGAACACGGTTCCACTGGAAAAGAAAAGAACAGCATCCTTGGTGCTCTGACTTCCCTTCTCTGGGGCTAAGCCCGTGAAAAGGCCCGTTGTCTGGGGCTAGTGAACCAGAGGGTGTTTGCCGGCCTGGCTTTGCTGCTTGCATCTGCGGGACCCGCCCCCCCTCCCCATCCCCCGCTGGTCCCGGGCTCACCTTCCACTGGATCTGATTGGTTGGTGGACCTGGGTAGGCTCGAGGCCCTGTCCGGTTTGGGGCCTGAACAAAATAGATTCCCTGCTCTGAGGAGCTTGATGACATCACTACAGGATCACACTCTAGCTGCCCCCTCTGGCTGCCCCACCCCTGCAGGACACGAAAAATCTTGAGGAAACTAGCTGAGCCATTGCAACATGAAGGAATGGATTTACTGAAACAAAACTGTAGCTTTTTTGTCCTTTCTGAAGGGCCAGAATATGTAATTATTTTCTAACAAAGGAAGTCAAGTCAGATGGCTAGTAACTCTAGGTGATCACTCATTGGTACTTGGCCCAGGGGTACTTTGGGGGAGTAATGTTAATTTAATAACCATTACACTTTCCTTCGTAAACGTCTATTTCCTTTAACAGTTTAGACACAGCTGGGGGGTGTTCTGAGGTGATCCCATGTGGTAAACTTTGGCTTATGCTGTTGGCTGGTCAGAGCTCCCACCCTGGCTTCTCAAACCGACACGGGCGCCCTGGGGTGGGCAACCCCCCCCCCGCCCCCCCGGCTCTGACTGGCTCTGGGGTTGGACTCTGCCACTTGGAGTGGTTTTGGGCCCCAAAGCCGTGGCTCCTGGTGGTCTGTCCCCAACAGCAGACAAAGCCTCACATAGCCCTCAGCCCCCCCTCTTTCTTTCGAAGGACCAATTTTTCATGGTACTTGTCCTGATTGTTTTCATAGTGTTCAAATCTGTATTTTTGTATGTAGAGGGAAATAATTTTCTCAACACTAACCGCTAATATTGTATTAAATTGTTATGAAGGAGTTCTTGTTTAATAAATGGACATGTAAAAATGGTCTGATCTCTTTTCCTGCTCTGACTTACCTCCCACCCCTTCAAAGGCTGGGGACCCACTTCCTGCAACGGGCCTGTTAGGTGGAGGTTGAACACAACCAGCATCCACCGGATGAGGCCCCTGTGGGACAGGTGTTGACAGGTAGCTGGGCTGGGGCTGGTGAGGCTGAGCAGGAAACCCCCCCACCCGACCCCTCTTGGCCTCAGCACATTCACCTTTCACACACATTCTCAGAACGTGTGTGTGTGTGTGTGTGTGTGTGTGTGTGTGTGTAACCTGGGGCAGAAAGCTTGCTCCTTCCCATAGGCCTGGGCCAAAGTGCTGGCCAGGCTGCCCTCAGGCTCCAATTCTGAGGTCCCTTGTGCAACCAGTTCCCAACCACGAGGGCTCCGAGGTCTGGCTGCCTGAGGGGTGTGGTGGGACGTGCCCTAATACTGAGGCCCTGGGCCTCCTCAAAGGGGCTGGTGACCTGGGCAAGTCATCGAACCTTCTGTCAGTTTCCTGGTCTACAAACAGGATTGTGTGAGGAGTAAGTAAGAGCACAGGCCAGAGAGCTTAGTGGGTGCCTGGCATGGAGCGTGTGTGTGTGTGTGCGCGCGCGCGCGTACCGACGCTGATACTGGATGGCATTGCTCTGGGCGGTGGAAGGTCTTCAAACACACTCCATGCAGGTAGTCAGTCTGGTTTAATTCATTATGGCTTTTTTTCAGGGGAGGAGATTCACATGCAAGAGAAGAACGAAAGTTACAAATGCTCCCAAATGGGTCCAGAACTCTGGCTCATTTCGTAAGGCCTCTTGGTCACAGGAAATGCTATTTAAGAAGCTGCTTTTGTATAAAAAAATTATATAAAGTTACAAAATCCATTGAAGATATATACACAGCACAGGAGAACACAGAAGGCACGTCTCACCTCTTGTGAGTGGTCGGGAGACCTGCTCTGGTGTCTAGAAGCACATGGTCCCGAGCGTCCAAGAGCCTGTGGCTGCTGGCGGACCCTGGGGCAGAGCGGCTCCGGCTGAGTCTGCCCAGCGACCCAGGACGCTGTCCCTTCCTGTGGTCCCCTGATCTTTTGGACCTGGTAAGCTACTTTACGAGCTTTTCTTTGAAATGGTCTTAGACCCACAATAGTCCTGTCCCCTGAAGGAGTCACAGTTTCCAGGGGTGCGAGGAGGCAGTTAAAGGCATGGCAAAGGCCAGCTTCCTCCCTGCTTACAGAATGAAGGAAGTGGTGCTCCTTGAACCAAAGAACCTTGGAAGGATCATTCTCGACAAAGTGCCTGGCATGGGCAGGGGCACCAAATGCAGACGAAGGTCCCTGGGGCTGGGGGGCTGGTGGTTTCTGCCTTACTTCCGTCGTCCCGTTACCTCTATCCACCCCCCTTGGCATGCAGATCCCTGTGACAGGGGTCAAATGGCTCTATTTGCTTTGTCCCTTTGTGCTTATTTTCGGTAGGGAGGTCAAAGGGCTTAAGGTCTGTGGGACAGAAACGAGGAGTGGCGGAACATTCACGATGCCCTCCTGTGCAGAGCGGTTAGATAGGCTCAGAAACGTCACCTTGGGGCTGCGAGGAGGCCTGCTCCTCTGGAGAAGTGGCAGCCTTCCTCCAACACTCCCGGTCCCCAGGCCTCGCTCCGGCCGGCCAGCCAGCCGGTGAGAAGTGCAGGAGGGAAGGCCCGCGTGGCTCGGGCTGCCAGGGCCGGGCAGCCCTTCAGTCGGAGTCAGAGTCGGAATCCTCTTCTGAAAAGAAAGCAAAGAGGAGGCTTGGCAGGAGCCTCCCGGCTGGTGGTGCCCGGGAGCCGTCTCTGGAGAGGCAGTCAGGCCCCTCCTGCAGCTGACGGTGCCCTTGGTGGGGTCTGCTTGGCCTGAGGGCCAGGGACCCTCCGCAGGCAGCCGCTGTCACCTCCATGGTGCAGCCAAATGCAGGCGGGAGCCCCAATGCCCTTTCCTCTGGGGCTCCATGCGCCTCAGTCTCCTGAGCTGTCTCACTTAGGGTGTCAGGACAGGACATCTGTACCCCAACCCTATCCCACAATTTAGCAGGACAATGTGGGGAAAACCATTTTCTTATCTAAGAAACTCAAATATCCTAGAAAATCAGGAAACCTTTTTTTGGCCATCGTGATCAGAAACAGGGCATGGCTGTGTGGTCACAGATGGAAAACCAGCCACCCAATCTGCAAGCCCCCCCAACCCGTTTATTTTTAAATTAGGTCATGGCACAACCATTCTGAGCTGAAGGTTGGCTGGGGGGACCAGAAGGCCCGTTGCACTCTCCTTGGATAAAAAGCAGGACAAGCTCGAACTTGCCTGGGCGCTGCGGGGAAGGCTGAGAGCCAGCTTGGTTCCCTGGCACTGAAGCCGTGGGGCAGGCCAGACTGCAGGGGGCGCTGGTCACTTTGGAGCCCAGTGCACAGTGCCCAGGAATGGAAGCCACGGACTGGCTGCCCCGGGGGCTCATCAGGGACCATTTAAGGGAGATGGAGGTGCCAGGCATGCCCTCTGCTTGCCCTTCCTGGAAAGGCTCAGGGCCTGGGGAGCCATGTGCTGGTCCTAGGGGACCAGCTTTATGATCAGGGCTGCATGAAGGGATGCGAGAACCAGGCTGTGAAAACACTTCCTGCCCATGGGGAGAGGGGCACGCTGCTACTCCAGCCTCAAACCAGCCAAGTGTCCCCAGGGGAGAGCAGGGCCCCAGCCCGCAGGGTGGCCACCCACCTTCCTCCTTGTTGGCTGTGGTCTCGTCTGCAGAGCCCTCTTGTTTGAGGAATTTGGCCACGTCGTTGAAGATCAGGTAGAAGTCAATGGCAAATACGATGGTGGCAAAGAAGCCAAACACCTGTGGATACAGAGGACAGGGTGGGTGGGATGGGAGTCCCTGGTCCAGGAGACTGAGAGGTGCCTGCCCCAGCCTCACCGCCTGTGTTTATCTGATTGAATAAGCAGCTCAGACTGGCAGGCACAGGCCCCTCCCATTAATGACAAATGGGAAAAGGAGCTGTTAATTTGGCTGGCAAACACCCTTTCAAAGCTGGGGCAGAGTGGATCTCCACTAAGAGGCCTTTGGGGGCCTAAGCAGGCACCATGCTAAGCAGGTGTCCTAAGAAGCATCTGGGACTTTAGGAGGGCTAGGGTGAACTTGAGGGGGGCGTCACTGGCCACCCCCCTCCCAGGGGTAGGGCAGCTACTCACCCCGGCTGCTTTGGCAGCCCCATCGGAGTATTTAGCGACAGCTGTGATGGAGATGGCAAAGTAGATGAGGGCCGCTGTGACACAGCGTAGGAAGTCCTGGGGAGAGAGGGACATGGTCACACCGCCCTGAGCTCCATGGAGTGGGGCACAGCAGGGGAGGGGCCAGCTGGGAGCTTAGGCAGGGGAGAGGGGTTCAGAAGACACCAGGCAGCAGGAACAGGGCTGGAAGCCCACTGTTCCCAGAGGAGGGTGGGCCTGGCAGCCTGAACACATGCCTGGCTCCCGAGTCCAGCATCTGTGGGCTCCCACCCTGTCCTCCCACGCCACTCCTCCCCTGCTCAGTGCCGCTTGCAGGCTGCCAGCAGCTG